GTACACTTTTCTAAAGATTCCATTTGATCGTAGTATATTTCACTCATTTTATTTTACAGTGAGATATTTGAGAAAAAAAAGTTATTTTTTCCGGTGTATTTAAACGAGTTAGTGTTTTAATCTGGTTTATCATTTGCAATACTGTAATTTGTAATTTAACAGACCCTCAGAATTGGGTTTGATAACAGACGCAAACAATCGAGCAAATTGCTTAATGTGAACGGCTGTCGAACGATCTCGATGAGTGACCTCCAAATTGATTGACTAATGATCTGCATTTTTTGACCATTGTGATTGAGGTGCCTCATTCTCAGTGTTGTGTTTTCGATAACTAGATGTTTAGTTTCACGTATGCATGCACTGATCAAATTCTGAATTCCAATGCGATGGGAGTGTTTGTGATAACCCGCAAAGAGCACTGGACAGCTGTTTCGTCCTGTTTGGGACTCGTCAGCAGTGCGTACTTTTTGTGTCCCTGTCAGGAGTCGAATCGCAAACAGTCGGGTCGGGACTTCAAACCCTTCAAACCCAAGCTTGACACTCTAAACTATTATTGAAGGTTACGTTGACCCGCTACGGAAATAAGCATGATAACTGACGACTTTGGCATTGAGAATGGTCAAATGAAGATACAAACCATATCGATTCCGTTTACGGCCGCGTGTCCTTCTCAAATCACAAAACACAACCAATGAACTTTATGCGCAAGCGGTTGCTTCAGTAATTTCAGATTCCGCTAATTTATTATTCAACTGCAATTTTATTCATAATATTCACACTAATGAAGATGTAGGAAGCTAGAAATTTATCCGTTATGGGTGCATAAAGATAATGTTGACTTGACTCCAGTCATCCACCATTAACCTGTGTGCGGAGATAACTGCAGCATAGGAACATAGTATAGTGCAAATGAACACCATCAAGATTGATGCAACGACTTACGCTATTTCAACTGTTGAGCAACTACTTGATTTATTCACTCCAGATGGTGGTTTGTTTATCACTGTTTCTCATCGAAACTCGTATGCCAACATTGAACATCTTATGTTAGGAAAACCCGATTTTGAAACATTCGAACCAATGCCACCGATAGGCGGTTGCCATAGCCTGTTATTCTTAATTTTAAACCAGTACTATCTGAAATAACGATATTATATTTCTCGAATGAAAGAACAAGTAAAAATAACCGGGAACTTTTCAATTATGTATGTATGTAGGTTTTTCTTTGCTCGTACGTGACTCAAAAAGACTATCTGAGCTTCAGTCTGTATTTATCTTCCTAGCGGTGTATGAGTTTGACTGTGATCATAAACCAGCAAGACTTATGTTATCTTTTGAGTATTAAATTACTAACTGATACGGTCTTTGATATAAATAAAATGGGCTGACTAGAACAGCATCCGAAATGATTTACTCGATGAGCGTTGTGCACCAGGTACGAGAGGAAGTAGCAATATGGAAGCGCATATATCATGGTCTGAAAATCGGCCAACAAAACCCGAGGACGATACTGATCCTATCCTGGTTCCGATCCAGGTAACTCACGTAATTTTCGGTTGGATATGCCACTTATCCTGCCTCAGTAACATTTTTGCAAAGAGAAGAATAAAGACAACAAACTGTCTTTCTTGAAATTCTTCTGTAGCAGTACTGCATCTTGCATCCCCGAGTTTTTCAATAACAGACGGGTTACTCTTAACTACGGGAAAGCCGTATGCCAGTGGTACGGTTGCTCTGCGCTTGGCTCTTTGAGTAACGCTTAGTAAGATGCCTGTCACAACTAAAATGAGTATTTAAGCGGCTCCTCAATGAAGACCAGTCTTACGGCAGTTGAAAATCATTCCCCGAATCGTTACCGATGAATGCACTATGACCAGCTGTTTGATCGAAACTTCTGAATGTTTGTTATTAAACAGTTCTGAGCTAGTCTAATGGCGTTGAATTTTGTTCAACCGGTAATTGATATCATATAAAGGACTATACTCTATTGAACGATCCACAATTTTGGCAAAAATTCCGTAATCGGTCGATAGATTTTACGAATGCCAGGAAATCATTCAGGAACAAAATTCATCCATCACTGAACAACTCACGGACGTTAATGCAATATTCGTTGCCAATTTGCTGACCATACAGAATTTCGTTTTTACCATACTTAATAAGGATTTCGTCCTCATTTCGGCGGAAACTTTATTCATGTAAAAACTGGTTCCCTGTGCTCTATCGCCTAGTATCGAAACTTATAGCACCTTCATGGTTTAATTTTACTGGTGTGATGTTAGGAGTGGTCACACCAGTATCAAGTGACCTTAGTGGCCTCGACATCTTTGAGACGACGCGAAAAGTGCACTGTCACACAACTGAGTTGGCATAATAATACTTCACACAAACAGCGATTTCGTGAAGGTTGACTAAAATGACCTCATTGTAAATCAAATGACTTGAAAGAAAAGGCTGCCACAATTACTTGGATTTTTAGTATAGTGACTGTCGCACAGTAGTTCACCCATAATAATCATGCAGAATTACTCTAATGCAACATTTGATACCTGCCATAAAAGAAGTGTATACGAACTGTGTTTAACATGTTTAACAGACACGTTTTGTTAGTGTTTAGATAAGCAACCTGATCACTGTGTTTTGTTGAAAAGGTGTTTGTTCTTGAGGTGTGCTCACTATTGGAAAGTAATACAAATCTTTAACTGAAAGCCTCATTCACGATCCATGTTTATAAGGTATTTGTAAAACTTGTCGATAAAATTACTGATTTTAATTAAGCCATAATAATTTAGACAAATGTTATATTCTTAACTCACGTATTCATTATTTTATTGAGCAATGTATTTCTCAATCTTGCGCAGTTCTTTTCGAGCTATTATTCCTGAAATACTCAAATAGGATCTTAAGAAATAAGGACCTGTTCTACTGATTACAAGTCGTGTAATTCACACTATCTATTAACTGTAAAAAATACAAATACGAGATTCAATCTTGCATCGAATTCGCATTCTTGTGAACTGTGATTAAATTTTGTACGCCAAATTATTATAGTACCACGCCCATCAGATGTGATGTTGAATGAGCTGAACTTGGAGTGAGGATGTTAATATCTTGGTAAGCTCCTCGTGCAGGAAATTGTGTTTCTGGATGTTGCCTAGACTTGTTAGTCAAGGCCATCTTTGACGTAGCACTGATGACATTGTCCAGCAGAGATACAAAATGTCTGCAAACAAAATTTTCACCTCAGAGACCCCTAAAACATTAGTACCACAACCATCTTTCTACGAGCTCAGAATTTATACGCCGTTCATTGCCTATACACTAATACAGGATATTTGTGCCCTACCGAGCACATGTAATCGCCGACACAAAAAAAATTAAAGTGTGACATGGGTACAGAATTTTTGCAGCACGTATGGAGACCCGCGGAACGCTCTGAAATGAGAGTAATAGATAATCGTTCCCACCGACCCTCGATTGCACCTCTCGCTGTCAGACAAGCTCACAAAGGGAGAACACGAACGAACGTATATTGTGGTACGGAAAGAATGGCAAAAAGCAATGTACAAGGTGTATCTGGGACGGAGGGCACACAAGATTCGTATCGATTATGGGTTCTCGTGTATTTCCTGACACTTCTGTTTGTTCATTATTATTGTTCACCGTATTCAAACATTGTGCGCCCGAAAGGAACAGGGAAATTACGACAACTATCAGTACTGTACATATCTCCGACTATTTTGGTTTCAATGCCCTTACAAAAGCAAGCGAGCTTTGTCTCATCCTGGGGCTTTAACTTTCAATCTATGATTTCCCTTATTTGGGGATCGATTTTAACGCTTGACATTTGATATAACGCTTTGAGTTTCAAGTGTTTTGACTGCAATGAAAGCGCTACAACATCCGAAATGAGTATGACAAAAAAGTACATGATAATCCACGTTAAAATAATCTAATACACAAATGATTTGGTCGTCTAAAGTGCTCAAACTATTGATTATTATAATCCGGACAAAATTCAGCGATAGAATCCAAATCATTCCTAATATGTTCAACTGGCGTTTGGATGCAATCGCTCTCAGTTGTTAGTCGAAACTTACTAATTGTACCTAGTCTTAGGCCACAATCAGCTCATTTTATCACGAAGTCAATCGTAGTCGAATCCGGTGAGCCCATGCATGTGTATGGCATGGGGGTATCCAGGACCACCTCTTCATTCTATCCATCTGTTCACAAGAGTTTCTTTGAAGTGGTATTGTGGAATTGTCCCATCCTGCTGATACTACCACATTCCCTACTTGACCATCACCAAAATGTTGAAGTGATGAATTCTGGTTGCAACCTGAAGTAATATGCACCATGCATGACAGGAGTGCATACATTTTTTTGACGCTCCTTTCATGAATATCTGTTATGAGCACGTATTAGTCAGTCATACAATCCGGTTGAAGGGGAATTCTGTGGCCGATTGATGAGGTATTGATACGTAAAATAACCAGAATAAAATACTAGTGATTTTTTTCTTAAGGGATAGGAATATGGCTGAGTATGCACCAGCCAAGATGTAATTCAATGAGCCTCGTGTACACTAGGAGAACATTGAAGGCTTGAACTTTCGAGCACCAAATTTCACCCCATTATTGTACCTATAAATCTGATTTACTTTTCCTTTTTGAAGGAATTCAACTGATTTTTGACTGTTTGATACAGATAATGGTAATGTCAAAATGAGCATTGTGGGGGTACATCGTTCAACTGGTATTGGGGCACAACGCTTCCGTGCCTTGGGTACAAAATGATGTAAAATCTAAGTGTTTTCTCTTCACTCAAGATTTATATTACTTCTCGATTTGCTATAATACTAACCTGAGCTTTGAAAATGATGGAATTCTGATAATATAATAGAGAGCTTGCAATAAGGAAGCTTTCATTGGATGACATCAAAGAGAACACTCCTTCCATTTCTCACTTGTCGACACAACAGACAACAACGCAATCCAATGCTTCGTCGTTCCCGATCGGCCCGTTCGGCCGGGAGCACACAATCTCACGTGGACTTTGTGGACCAAGTTAATCGGGTTTTGTGTGCAGGCAGTGGTGTTGAGGATGATAAGGATGAGCTGGAGGAGGAATTAGCTAATTTGGTGGGGGAACCCGTTCCGAAAGAGAACTCAGACCCGGTAAGTGCTGACGGCAGACGATTTCATTCACCACCCAATTTGTCTTACCCCTTGTGCAAATGTGCTTCCGCAACAATGTGTGTATTTCAAGTCAAGTCACCACTTAATTCTTGCTCACCTATGATATGTGGAATTTCACGGTAGAGGATATTCGCAAACCAGAGGGTTTTTGAAACTTAGTGTCGACAAAATCTCTTAAAAGTATGGTAATATGACCGGATCTTAAACAGTACGAACCAGAATACTGATTTTATTATTTGAATAATACCACAAACTAGAAAAAAGGCACAGAAACGAGGATGTTCTACAGTCTTGCTGTTCATAGGTTGAAATGGTTTGAGGCGAAGCTTTTACCATCTGAAGATAGCCAGTGGGTACCAGTGACCAAACACTTGTACACGGAATCGGAGAACAAGGGCCAGTGGAGGGCGACGGAAGAGGTATTGAACATGAACCCAGTTAGCAGCTATATGATAGGGAGGTGACTACAAGTTGCATGTTGAGGTCTGGTCGATCACGTAAAGACCCACAATGAACCTGATGAAAAGGAAGGGAGGACGTGGACAGAGCTTCCTTCATTTCCACACAATCGCCGTGTTTAAGTCGAAGGGGAATCTGATCTACTCCCGCTTTCTCTCCTGGTCGTGGCAACTTTGTGCAATCGCACCGACAATCTTCCGTGTTGTCAATTCATGTGATAGGTTGCGTGTCGTGCAAGCACACAATATCCTAAATGGAGTTTGTCGAGTTCGCTCGATAATTTGTGTGTTTGCATTCATGGCTTCTGAAACACAGGCAAATATCATTGGTAAACTTAAAGGTCAGTGCAAACAAACATCGTGCTTTGGAATAAATCAGTCAAGATGGTCGATGTCCATTCCTGTCAGAACACTCACTCACCAGTCCGCATCGGCAGAGAATAAAATAAGCACGGTTAACTTTATGGAGCGCGCGTACAGACCGACAACTTCACAAGGTCCCCATTACGCANCGCACATTTCTTCCTAATTTGACGTGATTGTTTCACACGATCGCTCACTTGATCGCAGTTTAATCCAATGACACTGGTGTTTACATGATTAAAACTTCACGTGACTTGATTCTGGTCAGGTGCCTTGATCGATGGGAGACTGTTTCATTACGTGAAGATAAGATGTTGATTCCGTGCGTCAAACCGGTTCGCGATTGTAATGACAAAGCGAAAAGAGTGAGAGTTAATTCAGCGAATTTTAGAATTAGGCTGTTGAACGGGTGACTGATATTGTAAGAATAAAAATATTCATATCACACTTAAAACGGTAGTTGACGATTATATCCACGCTTCTGCAAAAAAACGTGTAAATTCCGATTTTCAAGTGCATTACAACTAGTTTACCTAATTACGGGAAGTTAATATCAATCATAGAAGAATGAGTGAATTCCTAAAACGCCACACTAGAAACAAATATAAACTCTCTGGCGGTAGAGCAGAAGATGATGGATAAAGAAATTTCTAGGTTGGAAGCAAAAATATGAGATCAACCCCTAGAAAGATTACGAAACCACTTAAGATACTCAGGTGTTCCAGAAATAACCCGCTTCAGTGCAGAAAGTAATCAGCCACAACAAGACGAGAAAAACACTAACAATACATGACGCAGTCCTCGTTTTAAAGTCAAAGTCAAAGTTTTATTATGGGCGATTTAACAAAGCTAAAGCTTATCATGCCCCATAGGATTTTTACAGAATGTTTTGAATAACTTCACAAAGAGAAAATAACAATGATAACAATGATAATGCGCGTGATCACCCACGGATGTTGAAATTTTGTGTTCCAATGTTTTATCAAGTTGCGATTTAAATAGTTCAGCTGCAGGAGCACATACTACACATCAGATGAGAAGTTCCATGCGCCGCACACTCTGACTGCAAACGAGTGATACCGGCAATCAAGGTGGCTGTTCACCTTTAGTGGATGTCCCCTGAGGTGATCGTTATGAGATAAAGTCAGCAGAGAACGGTAAGGGTGGTTGGGTTGGTGCAGTATGTGATATGCCAATATTAGGTTCCCTCGAAGTCGGCGGTATTGGGATGAGTAGATTTCCAACATTTGCAGTCTTTCGGAGTATGTCTTGTTATATAGATCTTTTACCAATTTCGTTGCCAGCCTTTGCGGACGATCTAGAGCCTTCCTGTCGCGGTTTAACCATGGATTCCATACTTGAACGGCGTACTGCGTGTGTGGCCGGAGTACGCCGTTCAAGTATGGAATCCATATTGTGCGAACAAAATTGGGTACAAATTATCGACGCCATATGTGCAAATTACGTTACCAAAAGGATAAACAAGCAGTTAACGGTACTGCTCTGCTACTTATGTTCCGGAAGCAGCATCGACTTATCTGAAGGAGAGATAAATGAAGGATCTTGGTTCAATCAGTACAAATCACTGTTAGCCGACTGCTGCGTGATCAGAAAAAATAATAATGCAAACGGATTCCTAAATCGACAATCCCTAACGTGTTTTTACCCCAAAGCACGAGGCTTTTTTTAACCTATTTCCTGAAATACATTTGCAAAACTGATCAGCGGGATATTTTTATCAATATTCAGACTATTCTGAACTCTAACTTGTATCCACGTGGAATGTGTCCACTCAAGCGTGAGCGTCATAAACAAGGTGGCAGTGTACTGCTCTATTTTCGTAGTAATCTCGGATGGGAACCGCTTGATCTCTTGGATGTATTCCCCGACACACTTTGGTGCTCACAAAGGCTGCCCAAAGATAAATCGTTTGATTGATGTGGTTTATCGCTCTCCCGTATCTACAGCGGTGGTAAACGCAACTCCAATGCAGCAGATAAGACACGCTCCTTCTTTCTAGTTCCGTCATATTCTTATAATGGAGACTATGGTTGTCTCAACTTTATAAAACGCCATCCTATCGTTCCACGCACTGTGAATTTTGACAATTGTCATCTCGTATAAACGTTTACCGAAATGTATCCAAACCTTAACTGATACGTCTGCTCACAAACAGAGCGAGAGAAACCAGTGAACTTCGGCTTAACCTGGGACTGTGCAATGACCCTATGCTATCTGTAAACAACCCCCTCCGGTGCGGTAAATGTTCCCTGGAACGGTTGGCATGCATAGCTTTTTTAATTAAAATGCAAACATCAGCGCTTGCAAAAGTTACATAACACAATACAACACAATGTCAGAACTCTCACCAGCCATTGGAGCAAAAATGTTTTATTAATAACTTCACATCCAATGCATAATCGTGTAAAGGAGCTAAATGGATTTTGGGACAATCTAATCACTATCAAGGTTGGACTTAGAATTGAAACAGTGGATTCTTGTGGTGATATCAGCCTACGAGATGATGCGTTCCCGGGAGCGACGCGTTACGGTTTTCAGACAACTGCAATCAATCAAACTTCACGAATGAAGTTAACAACATGTGTACGTATCATTGATTCTAACTACATGCCATGAGTAGATCGCACCAGACAATCAGAAACCATGCGGTCCAGACATAAGCAGAAAGATACCAGGAATGCTGGAACGCGATTGGTAGAAGCCCGGATAATTTGTACATATTATTTAATCCCCCTTATTTCTTCCAATAAACGAACAGCGACTCCTGTAGTCATTTCCTCGCGTCTCAGGCACATGGGATATTGCGTGCTAGTGCCAGTGCGGTCCACTACTGACGTGATCTAGTCCGTGATTGCTAATGCTTGATTCGTGTTCCGTGATCCGTATTGTGTGGTTCGTATTCTGAGTTCAGTGTGTACTACTACTACTACTACCACTACTACTACTACTACTACTACTACTACTACTACTACTACTACTACTACTACTACTACTGGTAATCCATTGGTGTCCCTGCATAGGCTCATCGGCTCTAGCCGTATATACAAATGCCGTAACCTCGATCAATCCTTTCGATACACCAAATGAGCGACTGTTACCCATTCTCGGCTTAATTAAAACATGAATGGCACAAAATAATTCCATTTGGCGAGAGTCTAAAAGATGTTTGGCTCTTGGCAGTAAGGATATTCACACCATGTATTTTCGTTCATTTTAGAATTTTTACTTCCTTTTATTGAATATACAATGACACATTTTGCAGTTAGGGGACTCGAACAATCAAACGGTTGCTATACAATACATAATGGGAAAAGCCGGGCGTTGGTGGTGGGATTCGAAGACATGTACTGGGGTGGGGGTGGGGGTGATNTTTAAAACCTTGTGTAAGAGCGTTGGCTGCCGGTGAAATGTTGAATTCCAGCTTCCTCATCTTCTGCCCTATGGTCCACATCCCCAACTTTCTACTGTCAATATCACCACTGAAACGGAAAAATTCAAATGGTTAATGTTGCGTAAGAGTTCATCTCCGGAGAGGAAAAAAACATCCTTAGACGTTGAACACATGGACAAAGTAATATCTGAAATAATGGCAAACTTATACCATGGAATATCCGACAAGACGGTATTTTTTCAGTTTTTAAAACATGGTATCAATTCACCCATTTATAAAGGTAACAGTCAAAGGAAACCCATGAACTATTAACTAGTTGCACTTTCTACTGTTCTGCCCAATTAGTGAAATTAATTATTACTGGTTACCTAATGGATTATTAGGAGAAGTATAATGTTCTGTCATCTTTTCAATATGGGTTTTGAAAAAATCGATAATGCACCATCCACCTGTTACCTGCAGTAGATGATTGGTCATGAACAATCTATACATGAAGGCAGTAGACATGGTCTTTTTGGACTTTCCAACTCTTTTTATCCAATCAATCACTAACTACTGCTACAGAAGCTCTAGAATTACAGGTAACAGCCGAATTTTATCAACAACGCACCACGACATCTTGAATTAATGATTCACTATCATGATCTATTTGCGCGGATTCCTATTTCGTAGCATTTATAAAAATCTGCCAGATATCATTGGGACACATGGATTACTATTCGCAAACAACATCAAAACACGAAGAACATTAAAATTTCTTCGAGTATATACAAAACTGCCACAAAGCTCATCACTGGTCTATCATTCACGGTGTTCTGATCAATACTACCAAATGCAAGGTGATATCATTGCGTTTCCCCTTCGTTCGCCCTTGGAAACCAACCATTATCACGTGCTTTGAACGAAGAGAAGTTGTTAGTTATTGTGTGGAAGGACTCACTGTTTTAGAGCATCACTAATGGCCCTTAAGCAAGTTAGATTACTCAAACATACTTGGGGACCGTTTGAAATAGATCTTGCAATCGGCACACATTGGCCAACACATCGCGTATGCCATCCACCTCTGGAATCCCTGACCGAGTTTTGATAAAATAGAGCTGGTATTTCCGCAGATAGTAGTAACAAAAGTGACTGAGATATTAACATCTAATATCTGTGTTGAATGACGGAAATTACTGGAAATATCTTCTCAACGATATTACCAAATTCTAAGAGGTATATAGACATCGTATATCAATTACTGCACCAACCTAATCATCCATGTAGTACTGCATTGACACTATCAAGAATTGATCACCTTAAGAAATTTGTTTCACACCGGGTAGTCAGGGGAGCCGCTGGATTACCGGCATTACTCTTTCGTCGCCAGAGTATAAATTGTCTGGAACTATCTTCCATCCCAAGTTGTTTATGCTCCAGTCGTTCAAGCTGTGAATGGGTAAAGTACTGAAAGGTCTAATTGTCACATCGTGATTGAACCGAGTTATTGTCTGATCGTGCCTTTTTTACCACTCCCCGAACGCAGTATATGTAAAGATCCCACGGGATTCAAAAAGCTTTATCTTTTGCAATTTAGCCATATTAAAAGTTTAAATCCACCTGTTAGACGCCATCAAACTCTTGTGAGGTCATGGATGAAGATCTTCCTGTGTCAGCAAAGTGTTAAGAATAACGATGTTCAAGGGATGTCGGTCGACGAAAGCCGTTTGAACAGACAGATCGGGTTTTGTAGCCACACCAACAGAAGGCTAAGATCAAGACGTCACGGTAATTGATGGGGATGAGTGTCACAGGCATTATGTCATTGAACTGTCTGTTGTTGAGTGTCCCTTCTTAGCCTGGTACCAAAAATGAGCTGGTCGTATTCTCAATGGAGTTACTTGCACGTGGCGAAAATGAAAGTCCAACCAAACAACCTAGGCAAGAATAAAACTAGATAACTTTCGTGTATTCGATATTAAACGGAGTTGCATTTCTGTTCAAAAGAAAGGCGATATACAGTCTGAAACGATAGACTTTCGTATTAATCAGAATGGTATTGTACGGGTTCTCTCACAGAAGTAATCGTTCTACACCGCCTGCGATGCCTTCCCATATACTAACTTTCCGTCCTCTGTTCGCACCTGCCGGGCAAGGCTAAAAGAAGCGGGACGGCGGTCAAACCATGACATGGGCTAGAGGTATGAAGAAGCTTGCTTCAGCTTTGGCTTCGGTTGGTGCAGCCTGCCTTCCAGGTTGGAGCCAAAGGGATGAAGATTATCGCTGGTTAGAGACGCTGACAGATATGGCCCAGAATAGAAGTCAGCGGCGTGAATGCTGTACGGTCTGCCTGTCGAAATCCCGTGTCCCGTAAAAAAACAACAAACAACTCGAAAAATATCGAAAAGTGTACGGTGAAACACAAAGTATTTTTTATCTCGTTCATCTGCCATTTTCCCGTGTTTAACTGTTTCTCCATCTTCCCACTTTGTTCTGGATCCCAATCAAACTTCCCTCGTTTTCGTTATTGTTAATATTGTTGTGGCGTTGGCACCAAGCTTTTCTATATGTATATATAATCTGCCATAATGTGAGACCCAGTGTTCATTTTAAACGGGGGCGTTGGCTTTGATCGTGGCCTAGACGCGATAATTGACAATTTACAGTTCAAAACAGTGTTGCTTTCAAAAGCCTGTTCCATCGAATGATTTTAACAAATTTCGACCATCTGGTCACCGTAAAAAGAACTATTTTCCCCGTGAACTCGTTTTCAGAAGACTCAAGATGAAGAACTGGCCGAAGAGCTTGAAGCCATTTTACAAGCATATGCACCGGATGTAAGTAACTCCTGAAAGTTTACTGAAAATGGCATTTCGAAGTGCTTAATTTCTTTTAAATTTTGCTCTACTTCGCTATTTAAATTTAGAGGAAAATTTGCTTTGGATAAGCGAATATTCAACTTATTCGAGTACTGTTTCATTTAGCGAGAGCACCGAGGTGATTTATCGAACCACTCGATATTTGTGAACTGTCCACGTGAAATTTGTTTTGTTATTTTTTGTTCCGTCTGGTGATATGTGTACAATTTGGACTAGGCAGAACTATACTTAATCAATTGCGTAATTTTTGTATCTTTATTCATTCGATTTCCGAAGATGGAATTCTCACACTACTGTCAGTAGTCTGTTGGCCACAAAATATCCATGATACGCAACTCGCAGTTTAAATACATTTCCTTCATTTTATCTGCACGCCTCCACTCACTGCTCTACGGTCTTTTGGGATTCCTGCAGACCAATCCCGAAAAATCAGAAACAAACCGTTCTTCTGGTTCGCATATACGGAAACCCATGCTGGCCGAATCTTCCACCAGCGGGACTAGCGAACAGGAAGTCGAGAAACGATGTGTGTCAGATGCGGTCCAAGTCGATTTGACCCCATATACAGATAAGGCGGGCGTCAATATGACCACAACTGAGCAACAGAGTCTTGTTCGAGCCGCTCGGGTGAAACGCGTGATCGATATGCTGGACCAGCGTCGTCAAGAATTGCGTCTAGCCGCTTACC